TATCTTCTAAATTTTTTGTGTTTCATAACATCTTAATGGTAAGTTTAAAAGAAAATCCGTCTTAGGGCAGTGAGTAAATGTTTGCAATGATTTCATGATGGCTGAAATGTCTTACTTTTCCAAGCTCTAGCAACATGTCCATTTCTAATTATTTATCTGACAAGGATGTCCAGAACAACAACCAGTGAAGAAATGAGCACATGAACTGAACAGAGCTTTTTCAAAGAAAAAAAATCCAAATGGCCAAAAAACACATGAAGAAATGCTCAACATCCCTGGCTGCTAAAGGAAATGCACATAAAAACCACATTAAGACTCCACCTCACTCCTGTTAGAATGGTTACCATCAAGAACACAAACAACAAATGCTGGCAAGGATGCAGGGGAAAAGGAACCCTCATGCACTGTTGATAGGAATGTGAATTAGTACAGCCAGTGTTGAAAGCAGTATGGAGGCTAAAAAACTAATAACAGAACTGCCTTATGATTCAGCAATTCCACTCCTAGGGATATACCTGAAGGAATGTGAGTCAGGTTACAACAAAGGCACCTGCACACCCATGTTTATTGCAGCATTATTCACAATAGCTAAGCTATGGAAACAGCCAAGATGCCCCCCTACTGAAGAATGGATTAAGAAAATGTGGTATTTATATACAATGGAATTTTATTTGGCCATAAAGAGGAATGAAATTCTTTCGTTCACAGATAAATTGATGGAACTGGAGAACATTATCTTAAGTGAAGTTAGCCATGCTCAGAAGGTCAGATGCTACATGTTTTCTCTCATATGTGGAGTATAGGTCCAATATAATATAAGCATATTACATATACATACAAATATACAGAACTTGTATCCAAAAGTGGAAGTGAACTGGTAGAGGAGACAAAGAACGAGGAGAAAAGGAAAGAAAGATAATAAATAATAATGAAATATGTCACAATAATAATATGATAATAAAAAAGAATTGGTAATAGCTGATAAGAATGTAAGATACTTGCAGGCAGTGTTTTCTTAGCACCTCACTGACTTGCTGATAGTCAGAGAAAGGGGTCAGTGTATTTGTCAGATGAGCAAATGTTGAATGTTTGCTTCAGCATTTATTTTCCTAATACATGAAGGATCGTAGGTAGAGCATTTGAGAAATACTTAGTGAATCAACTTTTTTCATAGAAGCTATTTTAATTTTTGATATTTATATATGTATAAATAAATGTCTATAACTTTCTTAGTTCTACATTTTTGGATGGCCCTCTTCTCTCTTATTTTCTATAGAACTAGTACCGTTAACTTGTATGACAATACACTTTGTTGTTTCTAAGTTGCTTTTCTTTTTAACTTTTTTAAAGGTTTTTTTTAATAGTACTTAGTGTACATAATATTTTACTTATTTTTATTTTTTAATCATATGGTTGTACCAGGGCACATTGTGACATTTACAAAGTTCTTACAAATATATATCATAGTTGAATTCATCACCTCATCATCCCCTTTATCTCTCCTCCTCCCATTCCTGGAACAGTTTCAGCAGGTCTCATTTTTCCATTTTCATATATGAATACATAATATCTCTACCATATTCAATCTCTTACATCCTTTCCTTCTATCCTCCCCATTTTTAAACTTTTAAACATCATTTTAGCACAGAAGAACCTGAAATCTGTTTTCTTATCTAAACTGCTTCTTGCCACAAAGGTACACTTGTGATCACTAACAAATAATAGTAGATAACGAATTGCTCATTAATGTCTTGAAAATTGTGGCTTACTGAGTTAAATGCTACCCAAGTTCATCTTACATACCACTCCCACTTACCTAAGCATTGAATTTAGTATTATTAAGGTTCATTGAATGCTCATAGATCTTAAAATGTTACGACTTGGGTCAAATAGGATAGCATTTGGTAATTTGTAAATGTGAAAGATGAAAGTTCTTTTTCAGGCTCTTTCCTACTAACATTTTTGACTCAGTGGTCTGGAATAGTTTATAATAGCATGATTTTAAAATGTGTTCTTGGAATTATTGATTGAAATTGTAATCCTAGTTTTTTCTGCTCCTCCCATAGCTTCCTGCAGATTTCACAAAACTGCACCTTACTGACAGCCTCCATCCACAGGTTACCCACGTGTCATCCAGCCATTCAGGATGTAGTATCACCAGTGATTCTGGAAGCAGTAGCCTTTCTGACATTTACCAGGTAAGAAGAGGTTTTCTTGTCATTCACTTCATTTCTGTCTACTCCAAGGAGTTTTACGATTCTTTGTTGGTAAAATCTGTGAAGTAAATACATGCACGCATATATGTATATAAAATATTATGTTTATGCATCACACAAACATATAGCATGTTTCATATTTGTTTTAGGAAGTAGAACTACTCTTGAGTTGTACTTAACCTCTGCTGTTACCAGTCATCAGAATTTTAAATAGAAAGGTTACAACTCTTGGGGATATACCCAAAAGACTTTGACACAGGTTACTCCAGAGGCACCTGCACACCCATGTTTATTGTGGCACTATTCACAATAGCCAAGTTATGGAAACAGCCAAGATGCCCCACCACTGACGAATGGATTAAGAAAATGTGGTATCTATACACAATGGAATTTTATGCAGCCATGAAGAAGAATGAAATGTTATCATTCGCTGGTAAATGGATGGAATTGGAGAACATCATTCTGAGTGAGGTTAGCCTGGCCCAAAAGACCAAAAATCGTATGTTCTCCCTCATATGCGGACATTAGATCAAGGGCAAACACAACAATGGGATTGGACTTTGAGCACATGAGAAAAGCACGAGCACATAAGGGAGGGGTGAGGATAGGTAAGACACCTAAAAAATTAGCTAGCATTTGTTGCCCTTAATGCAGAGAAACTAAAGCAGATACCTTAAAAGCAACTGAGGCCAATAGGAAAAGGGGACCAGGAACTAGAGAAAAGGTGAGATCAAAAAGAATTAACCTAGAAGGTAACACACACGCACAGGAAATTAATGAGTCAACTCCCTGTATAGCTATCCTTATCTCAACCAGGAAACTTGTTCTTCCTATTATTGCTTATACTCTCTCTTCAACAAAATTAGAGATAAGGGCAAAATAGTTTCTGCGGGTATTGAGGGGTGGGGGAGAGGGAGGGGTGGAGTGGGTAAGGGAGGGGTGGGGGCAGGGGGGAGAAATGACCCAAGCCTTGTATGCACATATGAATAATAAAACAATAAAAAATAAATAAATAGAAAGGTTACAAAGGTCACTTTAAATCTTTTACTCATCTATTATAGATAATAGGTTACTCTTGACTAGAAAACATCAGAATTATGTTTTATAGTAAGTTTTTGTTATGAAAGTCTTTATTGAGTATGACAAAAGGAGGGAATTATTAAGATATTATCCCTGAATCATATTTTAAAAAACATACCTATAGAAGGTAGGCACCAGTGGCTCACACCTAGAATCCTAGCTACTTGAGAAGCTGAGACCTGGAGAATTGTGGCTCAAAGCCTGAGGCCAACCTAGGCAAATAGTTCACAAGACTCCATCTCCAATATAACCAGAGAAAAATGGACTGGAGGTGTGGTTCGAGTGGTAGAGCACCTGTTTTGTAAGTGTGAAGCCCTGAGTTCAAATCCCAGTACCACCAAAAAAAAAATGTACCTATAGATTTGGTTATGTATTTGAAATATATTTGTATGTTACTGATGGATAGAAAAAGGCTAGATCTATGGGATTCAAAAATATTTTCAAAAGCAAAATAATTATAATTGTTAAAGAAACATTTATTGCTGGTAGAATGGCTCAATTAGTAGAGTGCCTGCCTAGCAAGTGTGAAACCCTGATTTCAAACCCTCAGTCAGTACCACAAAAAATAATAATAATACTGTTTTAGAATATGTACATTTAGGAAAAGTGACCAAAATACAAAACAAAAAAATCACTTTGGGGACCTTCAAATACATACTATTAATATTGAATTTTAGATGATTTCAAGATTAAAAAGAATATTGTATTCACTTTATAAAGTATAATTCTTGACTCCTTAGGAACTGCCCCATAAGCTGACCATAGAAAGTTCCTTTCTTAAGAAGATTGTGGTTATCAAGGATCATTGATCTACTCAAGCACTACTAGGTTTCTTTCTTATTACCGAAAGGAAATGAATAATTAGAATATGTGTACAAGACATTTAATTTCTAATTTTAGTACAGCTTAGAAAATATAACTCCTTTTTAGGAGGTAATGTATTAGGTGAATATATACTTTATAGAGGGCTTGCTGTCTAGAAATTTTATATCTGAAGCAGCCCCAAATCTTATTTTTTTAAAAAAATATGTTGTGCCAGGTGCCAGTGGCTCATGCCTGTAATCCTAGCTACTCTCAGGAGGCAGAGATCAAGAGGATCATGATTTAAAACAGCCAGGCAAATAGTTCACAAGACCGTATCTCAAAAAACTCTTCACCAAAAGGGCTGGTGGAGTAGCTCAAGGTATAGGCCCTAAGTTCAAGCCCTAGTACTAGAAAAAATAAGTTGTTAGCTGCAATTACCAACATTTATAAATTGCTGGCTAAGAATTTACTATCCTGCAGTAGGACAATAAAAAACATAATTTTTGCCTCTTTAAAGTAAGTGCAGATTTCTGCTTAGAGCAAGAAAGTGTTAACTGGTAATTAAGTCTTTAGGAAGTAATCTTATTCTAAATGTTAGAAAAAGTAGTGGATCAGGATAAACTTAACATGCACTCCCAGCTTATTTTTGAAAGAGAATTTTTTTTTTTTTAAAAGAAAACTATTCAGTTCTCTTAGGCTGGGTATGATGGTGCACAACTGTAATTCCAGCACTTGATAGGCTAAAGTAGGAGGATTAAGAGTTCAAAACTAGCCTGAGCTACACAGGGAGACCCTATCTCAAAAAAAAAAAAAAAAAAAAAAACCAACTAGAGATGTCTTTCAGTAGTAGAGAGCTTCCTAACATGTACAAGGCCCTTTCGTTCAGTTGCCACACTGAAAGAAAAAAAAAAAAAAAAAGAGTTTCCCAATGAATAGAAACTGTACTTTAGCTTTGTTTAACCGAGATATTATGGCAGAATGCTACAGACTTTAAGGGGGTTAGTATATATTTTGAAAGTCTGTAGTTGGGAATAGAACTTGAGGTTATAGTAGTTACCATTGTCCCAAACATCTGCAAACCTGACTGAAATCCCTATAATCCAAGTTTATGATAAGAGTGTAGGGACTGGCACCTTGGCTCAAGTGACGGAGTGCGTGTGCCTAGCAAGTGTGAAGCCCTGAATTCAGTCCCCTGTTTAAAAAAAAAGTGGAGAGTGTAGTAACTTGTTTATGTAATTGTTAGGCACATTCTGAGGAAATTTCAGTCTTCTGTGCTGTGCCTTGAGTAGGCTAAATAAATTCGCGAGGGAATTCTTGATACTTCCTCTGTCCTTGCTGTCAGCAGTGTCTGGAAGCAGTGTGAGCTGCATTCCACAAGGACGTTGCTGTGCCATGGTTGGGGCTTGCAGCGTGCAGGCTGACTTTACCTTTGTTACAGATGAGGACGAAGATCATCTTGCACGTTGTTCTGATTCCTTTAGTTGACGTGAAGGCTTTCCCTTGCAAGGCTGATAACAAACATGTAGCCCATAAGTTTTTATTTTTCATAAGGAAAAACCCACAGATTTGTCTAAAGATTTAATTAATGGCTATGCAACACTTGTATTCAATAGGAATTCTCAATAGACCACTTCTATTATCAAATTGGAATTTTTTTTTTTTGGCAGTACTAAGGGTTGAACTCAGGGCCCTGTATTTGATAGGCAAGTGCTCTATCACTTGAGCCACATCCACGGCCCACAGTTGAAAATTCTTTTATTTATTGCCTCACGCATGCTGGTCAAGCATTCTACCACTGAACTCCATTCCAGCCCAGACTTTCTTAAGGTGAGAATTCTGACTCCTTTTACCTGGTTGAACTTCCTGTCTCATGTTTGTGTTCTTTATTACTTTTATATCAGTCAAGCATCCAGTATATTCTTAAATAATTCCAGGATGAACCACTATCTATTGTGGCAGCTCCTTTACAGTTTGTACAGTTCTGACTTAGGAAGAGGTCTTTCCTTGTGGCATCCAGAGGTTGAAATTGAATGTCGTGTGCAGGAGAGAAAAGAGTAGAATTGTGCTGCTGAGATGGTAAGAGGAGAGGAAAGGACAAAGTGGAGTGCAGAGCCTTAGGCAAAGAAACCTCCTGTTTTAGCAAGGACACATCCTGGTGAGTTTGAAATACAGACTGGGCACAGGGGAGAAGAGCTCATCTGTTGAAGATGAGAGGATTGGCAGATAGGGTTTCAAGGAGAGAGAAGTTTTTAACTAGCAATTGCAGAGAATAGGAGAGTGATTGACCCAAGCAACAGAGGTGTGATTGAGTTAGTGCCATCAATTAATTACAGAGCAATTTCCCTCTGCCCTAATAAGTTATGTTTTCACAGTGAGACAAAGAGAGCAAAGATTGGCTTTTCGGACTGAAGTTTTTCTAAATGAGTGTAATACAAGGAGAGGTGGAGCTGCTTTCTCCCTGCAGAGACTTGCAGAAGTGTGCCTACTGAATGCTTTTTCCTGCCTTGTTTTCGCTCTCATTCTCAAGTATCCTCTCCTCAGAGAGTTCTTCCCTCAGTTTGCTCCCTTCTGTCGTTTTAATCTCTCTACCAAGATCCTACATTTTTGGTATCTTTCTTGCCTATCCTTTTATTTCTTTTTTAGGCTCTAAAAAATAGTTACTCCTTTTCTGTGTTGTCCCTGTTTTCTGTCCACATACCAGAGTGACAGCTTCAAGAACAGAGAGAACACTGGTTTTGTCTCCATTTTCTTCTCCATAGTCCAATGTAGCACCAGGAAATTATAGGTATTCGGTAACTTTGTGTGGAATGAATGTAATTGAAACAAGTAAAATAGCAGATGGGAGAGCTAGATGCAGAAGGTACAGTCTTGAATGAAGATCCTGCTTGAGTTGAAAAGGCTTACCTTAAAGCAGACTGAAGCAAGCCAAAAGAATAGGAGCTGGCAAAAGAAGGCAGACCACCTGTTAGTGATATGACCCAAGTCCATTTCCAGCCATGTGCTATCAGTGTGGCTTGGGTGGACCGAGACTATTATACAAAAATAGATCAATAGAACAGTGAGTTCAAGCAAAACGTGAGTAATGCTGCTGCGATATG